ATTCCATTTCCACCTAGAATTAAATTAAATAACTCGGGACTTTTATTTTTCACTTTTTGGGGAGAAGATCAATTGGAAGAAAAGCTACAATCAGATAGAATCTCCATCCTCACAGCCGAGGGGAGGTTCTCTATGCCACCATCGCTAAGGTCATGAGAGAAAACGTAAGAGACAAAAGCATGACTAGCTTTGTTAGCTTCATGAGGGGAGAACACCAAGGACCAACTCCTATTCAAGTATGAAATTTATGGTTTTTCATTCTTTTTCTTTTCTTCCATAAAGAGAGGAAAACAAGGTTGTGGTACTGGAAATGACCATTCAGTTGTTACATAGAGTCACTTTGAAATATCTAGCAATGTTTGGGAGCACCATATTGGTGGCTTGAATATGGAATTGCAGGATATTTAGTTCAAGATTGATTCACACTTATTTTATCATATTAACCACACGTTCTAATTCAGGCGTAAATTAAATTTGGCTGGTATTATTGTGTTGCCCTATTGTGACTGCACATTTTTATTTATTTGGTGTTTGACAGCAATATGGTGATGGATATTCTCAACCAGTCCAAGACTCCCTAGTTAAGGGAAACAGGTTTATATGAAAGGGCCATTGGTGATTACTGGACCAGGATTACATTGGGAAGATAATGTTGCAGGTTCATCCTGACAAAGTATGGTTCAACTACCAAGCTCTTGTTTCTTCACCTTCTGTTCTTCAATTGCTATTTCAAATTATTATATGGAACTATGCAGCTGTTTCTCATGTTGGATAGCTAACCAGGGGATAAAAATTGTTATTTTGGGGCTGAAAATGAGGAGGATGAGATTAAAATTCTCTTAATGAGTCCATAACCGGTATTCGATTGGAGTGTGCAAGGTCACTCTTGATGGACACACTGATCTGAATGTGGAAGTAGGGTCATTTCTAAAGGATCTAGACAAACTTGATCCTTAACGACACTCAAAAGTATGGATTCTAGACACATGGTAGAAACGTGTCATGCTTCAGTACTTTATCTCCGTACAGAATTGTGTGTCTAGTATTTCTTTTTCATCAACGTGGTTCTTGGTTCAAGACATCGTTCACCAAGTTTCTAGATAAAATCAAGGATACTTATACTAGGTGATGGTTCAAGTCCAAAAGACACCATTATTGATGCACAAGACCACACCAATCAACAAAAGAAATTTGAAACAAGTGGGAGATTGTTAGAGTTATGTGTTTCAAATTAATTAATTATTAATTTACTAAAACTCCAACTGATGTCTTAATGAAGTTTTAGTAAACTATAAATAAAGTTTTCTTCATCTGATGTATTAACTTACTCTAACTTATATATTATCTGTTAATTACATCCCCACTTCTACTAGCATAAATAGTAGGTTTACGAAGCTTACAAGATACACACTCTCAATACAAGTAAGAGAGAAAAAAGAGATTTGAAAAAGTATTTTCAAATTATTGAGTTTGAGTGTGTGAGTTTCATACTTTCAATTGAATCGGATAGAGATAAATACACAAGTTCATGATAAGAAGTGCAACATTCATAAACATACAGATTTGATATTTGGGCTTAGTTGAATCCCGGAGATAGTGCTGCCATTTGGCTTCCGTTGCACGTGGGAGAGACTTCAACTATCTTCAAGAAGCAATGACGCGCCTCTAAACCTCAATATTTCCCATTTCAATAGATTGGTTCCAACTTACTCCTAACGAATGACTTTTCAACTTATTCCTAATGAATGAATTTATTTGGTGCGCTTCTGTGAAAGTAACCCAGAATTTGAGTGATTGTCTATTTTCCTTTGTGATTGTTTTGCGTGATTTACTGCTATGTGGAATCCGTCCGGACCCGGGGCTTTTTTCGGGTAAAAACTGAGCACAACCTTCTCGATTTCATCTGCCGTGACCTATCGAATTAATCCTAGCTACTAAACCTTTGAACTCTCTCAAGAGTCTAATTAGTTTAGCCCAGAATTTGGGTGATTGTCTATTTTCTTTTGTGATTGTTTTGTGTGATTTACTGTTCTGTGGAATCGGTCCTGACCCAGGGCTTTATTCAGGTTAAAACTCAGCACAAGCTTCTTTATTTCATCCGCCCCGACCTATCGAATTAATCCTAGATACTAAATCTTTGAACTCACTCAGGATTCAAGAAGCTCATGAGATCCGGTTTTATTTACCTCCTCCCGTTTATGTTATAAAATTACTCTTCATTACATAAACACTAAAGAAATCTTAAGGCTGCGATTGGTACTCAGAAATGATATAGAAAGACCATACCATTTTTCTTGTATTCCTTTTTGTAATTTAGGTGAGTGGTATTAAAGTTAGAATACGCATTCCAGCAAAAACTTAGAATGAGAATTCCTTTTCTTATCTTAATCTAAGAAATGTCTATTCCATTTCCACCTAGAATTAAATTAAATAACTCAGGACTTTTATTTTTCACTTTTTGGGGAGAAGATCAATTGGAAGAAAAGCTACAATCAGATAGAATCTCCATCCTCACAGCGGGAGGTTCTCTATGCCACCATCACTAAGGTCCTGAGAGAAAACGTAAGAGACAAAAGCATGACTAGCTTTGTTAGCTTCATGAGGGGAGAACACCAAGGACCAACTCGTATTCAAGTATGAAATTTATGGTTTTCATTCTTTTTCTTTTCTTCCATAAAGAGAGGAAAACAAGGTTGTGGTACTGGAAATGACCAATCAGTTGTTACATAGAGTCACTTTGAAATATCTAGCAACGTTTGGGAGCACCGTATTGGTGGCTTGAATATGGAATTGGAGGATATTTAGTTCAAGATTGATTCACACTTATTTTATCATATTAACCACACGTTTTAATTCAGGCGTAAATTAAATTTGGCTGGTATTATTGTGTTGCCCTATTGTGACTGCACATTTTTATTTATTTGGTGTTTGACAGCAATATGGTGATGGATATTCTCAACCAGTCCAGGACTCCCTAGTTAAGGGAAATAGGTTTATATGAAAGGGCCATTGGTGATTACTGGACCAGGATTACATTGGGAAGATAATGTTGCAGGTTCATCCTGACAAAGTATGGTTCAACTACCAAGCTCTTGTTTCTTCACCTTCTGTTCTTCAATTGCTATTTCAAATTATTATATGGAACTATGCAGCTGTTTCTCATGTTGGATAGCTAACCGGGGGATAAAAATTGTTATTTTGGGGCTGAAAATGAGGAGGATGAGATTAAAATTCTCTTAATGAGTCCATAATCGGTATTCGATTGGAGTGTGCAAGGTCACTCTTGATGGACACACTGATCTGAATGTGGAAGTAGGGTCATTTCTAAAGGATCTAGACAGACTTGATCCTTAACGACACTCAGAAGTATGGATTCTAGACACATGACAAAAACGTGTCATGCTTCAATACTTTATCTCCGTAGAGAATTGTGTCTAGTATTTCTTTTTCATCAACGTGATTCTTGGTTCAAGACATCGTTCCAAGTTCCTAGATAAAATCAAGGATACTTATACTAGGTGATGGTTCAAGTCCAAAAGACATCATTATTGATGCACAAGACTATACCAATCAACAAAAGAAATTTGAAACAAGTGAGGGATTGTTAGAGTTATGTGTTTCAAATTAATTAATTATTAATTTACTAAAACTCCAACTGATGTCTTAATGAAGTTTTAGTAAACTATAAATAAAGTTTTCTTCATATGATGTATTAACTTATTTTAACTTATATGTTATTTGTTAATTACATCCCCACTTCTACTAGCATAAATAGTAGGTTTACGATGCCTACAAGATACACACTCTCAATACAAGTAAGAGCGAAAAAAGAGATTTGAAAAAATATTTTCAAACTATTGAGTTTGAGTGTGTGAGTTTCATACTTTCAGTTGAATCGGACAGAGATAAATACACAGGTTCATGATGAGAAGTGCAACCTTCATAAATATACAGATTTGATATCTAGCCTTAGTTGAATCCTGGAGATAGTGCTGCCATTGGCTTTCGTTGCATGTGAGAGAGGCTTCAACTATCTTCAAGAAGCGATTACGCGCCTATAAACCTCAATATTTCCCATTTCAATTGATTGGTTCCAACTTATTCCTAATGAATGATTTTTCAACTTATTTCTAATGATTGAATTTATTTGGTGCGCTCTGTGGAGGTAACCCAGAATTTGCGTGATTGTCTATTTTCCTTTGTGATTGTTTTGCGTGATTTACTGCTATGTGGAATCCGTCCGGACCCGGGGCTTTATTCGGGTTAAAACTGAGCACAACCTTCTCGATTTCATCTGCCGTGACCTATAGAATTAATCCTAGCTACTAAACCTTTGAACTCTCTCAAGAGTGATTAGTTTAGCCCAGAATTTGGGTGATTGTCTATTTTCTTTTGTGATTGTTTTGTGGAATCCGTCCGGACTGAGGGCTTTATTCAGGTTAAAACTCAGCACAAGCTTCTTGATTTCATCCGCCGCGACCTGTCGAATTAATCCTAGATACTAAATCTTTGAACTCACTCAAGATTCCGATTAGTTCAGCCTGTAATTTGGGAGACGGTCTATTTTCCTTTTGCGGACTTCCCACAACACAAACTAGCTTAAGAGCCTAACACAATGGGAATTCTGTATATTGATGAAATTTGATGTTCAGATTTGGAATTCACCGCATATTAAAATCTCTTAAGAGACACAATACACGTCAACTTAACATTTTAGTTCTGTTCAACAAAATTACAAGCAATGAATTGACATACCTTAAAATATGCAGGGTTTCCTCACTGCTAAAGTGATTAATTGACCAAACAGTTTTGCTGTGGTAAGCAGAATTAATGTGTCATATAGCAGCAGCAATTAAACTGAAGTTGGCAGTTGATATCCTACATTCTTTAGGGGGGAAAACAAAAAGAAAAAAAAAAAAAAAAAATAGTAATAAAAAATAAATAAATAAAAAATTGATTTACCAACAGAAAAAAAAAAAAAAAAAAAAAACACAGTGGAGTGCATTAAAGACATCCGAGCATGTTAATTTTTCCAAAGAATGATCAAGTGTTCCTCAAAATTACAGGAAAAATTTCAGGAAAAAGATGCTAACAGTTGAGCCTTCATCTCTTGCTTGAATAACAAATTCAGTGTCAAATGAACATTAAAATGGCAAAAATCTTCAACATACAGCAAACCAAGCCCCTGTAGGTTCCAACCCTGGTGAACTGTGGCTTCCTTACTGTCAAATATGGTGATTAATTTTACACCAACGTGATTACACGACTGTACTCTGGTGTCAAAACCTTCCAAGAGGCAAATGCCCTTGTCGGACTCGGAATGGTGACATGGAAGAATCCCGTCCCCAAGGAGCAAGGACTCAGAATAGGGGGTTCTCCACCAAGATCCAATTTGTTTTGCCAATGCAACCCATCAACTACTTGGCAGAATACCAGTCTTTAGCACATTTGGCATCAACAGATAGATCCACTTTGAGGATATTCTTGCCGTCGAAGGGGTTGGACATGCACTCAACAACTATGGCCTTGGCAAGCTCAGCCGACTCAGTTGGCCCTTCCAAGATTACTTCATCGTGAACCTGTTCTCCAAAGAAAAAAAAAAATTCAGTAATTACTGAGCAACACCACTATGGATAAGTTGCAACAAACTCATTCTATGTTTACCTAGAGCAATCTCAATATCACTTCTAAATAGGCTTCATGTTTCAAGAGAATACAGAAACACAGAAAATTGTTTTAATTCTTGCTGCCAAAAGGGTTCTGAAGAGTCAAAAAAAAATACCCTTCGTCATCAGATTCAACTCTCTTCAAATCCTTGGTTCAAGTTATATTGAAATAGTTAGTGTCATGACATTATAAAGAGAGTGAGTTGTGGGGTAGCTGTGAACGATTCAGTATGGAACGCATTAGAATTAGGTTGGACAGCATATTCATTTTAATGTTACCATCAAAGAAGTGGAGGAGACGTTCTGATAAAGGATGGCAGCAATATATTTGTAGCTATCTAGAGATTGAATATAGAGAAGACGAAGCCTGGATAAATTGCTTCCACAATTTATCTGAAGGCGAAAATTAAGTAAACAGAACAACTACAAGGATAACAAAGAATCCAGCCATCTTGAATAAGCACACAGCCTATATAACTAAGATTTTGCAATTTCATAAATTGAGAATCAAATGAAATCCAAGACAAGAATGTTGAAATGCATGAAAAGAAAGACTGCTAAAAAAACATACCCAATTTAAAAAAATAAATAAGGACAAATGATAAACAAAGTACAAATAGATCTGAAACAATTTGTGTGTGTCGAGACAAAGAAAGAGAGTGCATGTTTCTGTGCTTGTTGCGGAATTGTTGGTGTGGGGGGGGGGGGGGGGGGGGGGGGGCAGGCGCTGGGGGTGGTGAGGGGGTGATGAGGTTAGACCAAGCAAACGTAACCTGTAAAAGCAGCTTCCATCCAAGCTCCTTCAAATGTGCATTCTTTGAAATTTCTAACATGGCACACATAGCAACATCAGCAGCACTACCCTGATGCATTAATCTAAATCAAAATGTAATAATCTTGAGAGAGAGAGAGAGAAAAAGGAAAAGAATGTTTGAGTCCATTCTAGGGCAAAAGAATAAGAAGAAGAAAACAACCTGCACTGGGGCATTAATAGCAGCTCGTTCAATATGACCTTTTTGAGAGGGAGAAGCATGAGTCATTAAAGGGAATGTGCGAGCCCGTCCCAGCAATGTGTGAACACGGTTATACTTGCGAGCTTCTTCTTTATGTTTTTCCTGCCATCTCAGCACTTCACCTCTCTCCCTGTACCAGAGATCAACAGTTTCCTTTGCTTCCTTCACAGAAACCTGGGAATATGGAAGGTGATCCCCCATGTCATAGTGAATTACATTATTTCCAGTGAAATAAAGAACTTCACTTCTTACTTTAGGTTTATTGATGCAACGATACCTTCCAATCCCGAGCAAGCCCCATTGGAGTTTTTCCATATGCAATGGAAAAATTCAGCATCTTAGCTTTCCTTCTTTCAGAAGCAAAAGCATCCTGGAAAGCATAAAAATAAATAAATAAATAAATAAAGAAGTAACATGTTTGTATCAGCAACCCATAGCAATAATTTGTGGATGCTGGACCATCGCTTGCAATTTCCAGATAGCAAACCTGTAGTTCCATAAACTTGGAATCAAAGGGGTTCAATTTGACAGAAGGTGCAGAATGCATCTTTGGATCAACTTGTTGGTCAAACCAAACTCAATTGTGGAGGAAAAAGAAAATTTAACTTATACGGCGGAAAAGTTCTATGAGTCTACTGTCTAACAAAAACTAAAGATGCGCAATTCGAACTTCCCTAGAGTGATTCGTGGACATTTTTATTAAAGTTGTGAGAGCTGACTGAAAAATCTGCACCCGAGAAGAACTCTATTTCCAACCCACATTCATCACAGCTTAAGCATATATTTTTTACCACTTTTAGAACTGATTATTATTGTTCCAAGGGCCTCTTTTGAAGATCTTTCAAGTTCCTGTGGCTCTGGCATATTTAGTTTTTGAGTCAGAAGTCTTGTGTCTTATAATTTTATTTGCTTCATAGTTGGGTTGCTTGTTTTCGTAAGTGTGAGTGGCTCTGGATTTCTATCTATGGTTGAAGATTCAACTATTGCAAACTTTAAAGTGCCTATGCTTTTCCCCACCAAACTCATATTACATAGACTTGGGTGTGTGTGTTGGATGCAGATACGTATTTAAACATCAAATTTGTTACATCCCCAAACCCAACCAAGCACACATGGACACAAGTAGCATTTTTTTTTTTTTTTTTGGTTGTCTAACATGGAGTGTTCAATGTAGGAACACAACTAAAATTTTAAAGCAATAATGTACAGATGTAAGAATTTTACATACAACTATGTAAGAAACATATATTATTAGATATGCTAGTTAAGTCATGTCTAATAAGTGACGAGACATATTCTAAACACATGTCACTGTGCAGCGTGTTCGGCACAAGTATTAGCACACTTAGCTAAGAACATGTTGAGATGCAAATCAAAAACCTACCAATAGTAAGTCTTTCAAATTAATATAGTTAATAAAACAATACTATATAATAGATATTTTTTAAAATAATAACTAAGAAGACTTCATAGATTACTTTCAATAGAGGAACTGGGGGTTTATCTTCACCAGGTTGAGGATGCCACTCGAGAAGCACTTGCTTTTGTTCAACAGCTTCACAAATATGGGGATACATATTCATTGCAGTCCTTGAATGGAAATCTCCACCAGCTTTAAAAGCATCCAACATGCTCTTACAGTTGGCAAGATGAGCAAGAATCCTAAGTTCCAGCTGAAATATGAATATATATCTCCATCAAAACAAAATAGTAGATGATGATGAGGCTTGCAAAATCAAAAAGAACTACTTATAGGTAAATGGCAAAGGTTACTTGCCTGTCCGTAATCAGCAACAATGAGGGAATTCCCAGGAGCAGCTATGAATGCTTGACGAATCTTATACCGGTCCTTTTCTAAAGCAGGCTGATTCTGTATGCAAGAACAAGAAAACTTACACCCAGAAATTATGAAAGAAAAGACAATGGAGAAATATGGTTTTGCTCATCAGTCCTCCTAAGTGGATGGCCTAAGTATGATATTTGAATGTCATAGACAAAGGCCAATAATCATTAAGGATATCAGTGTCAAGAGCAGTCAGGGAAACCTTTGCTTAGGCTCTAAAATCTATGGCCACAAATGCATTCGGTGCCTAAGTGCCTGTTTTGTTCAGTTTTCATAAAACAGATCTCAATAACTCGGAAAACAGAAAACTATAAAAGACAGTTCTTTTAAAACAGGCCCTTTTAAATTGGGGATTTGAGGTACGATCTTTATATTGCTATTTGATGGAGGTTCAGGGGATATTCTTTTGGTGAAAAGGAATCTGGCGCTCGAAAACCCCCCTAAAGGTGGCCTTTTTTTGCTTGGACAACAGCTCTGGGGAGAATATTCACTCCCCCAGAGCTAGGATGGCCCAGATGGGTGGGAAATGTTGTGTGTCATTTCTGGGATCCAGTGGGTCATGCAACAATCCAAATTGAGCTTGATTGATGCTTGGGGAGGGTGCTCAGTTCAACCCCAAGTTAGAGGTGCGTGGAGTATCGTCCCTCTTTTTCTTTGGTGGGCCTTGTGGAAGGAGTGTAATAGGAGATCCATTGATGGAATGGAGTCTCCTTGGGTTTGTTAGATTTTCTAAGCTTGGTTCACTATTCTTTTGGGTTCAGGGGTCAAACTGTAAATCTATATAGATTCTTTTGTCTTTTGTGGATAGCTTAAGGCCATAGCTTTTTTTGTACAGTTGTTCTGGGTCGTGTCCCCCGTGTGGGCACTCTTTAATGAATACTTACTTTTCACAACCAAAAAAAAAAAAAAAAAAGGTAACACACTCACAATCTCTCAATTAAACAGATTTTTTATGATTTTTTTATATTCAGTTCTCAGAAAATAGAAAACTGAACCAAGCAGACCCTAAATTGACAATGGAATTTCCAGAAAAATGACAATGCAGCTTGAAAGATTTAACTAAAGGACTCTCATGGAATTTACCATTTAGAAAGCAAGCTATTCTTTACCTAGCACCAAGTTACATATAATTATGTGTGTGAGCGATCTGTGTATATTAAGAAGCACATACACTTCTATGAAGTGCCGTGTCCGTGCCCGATACCGTGTTGGATACCAACACTTTATGGACACTTCTCGACACATTTCCGACAATTCATAGTTGTGTCCATAATTTTAAATTAATTTTTATTATTTCAGATACTTGACCGACACATCTCAAACAATTGGTTAACACATTCCGAACACTTGTCCAACACATCCCTCGGTCTTTGTCTCTATAAAACAAACACATAACAGTCTTAGAAACAACATTATGCACGTACATCAAAGTGTCCAACCTCCTTTTCCTTAAAAATTGACATTAAACATATGTGAAAGTATGCAATAAAAATAAAAAATAAAAAAAAAAACGCAACTATAATGACAAGATAGGATAGTAATATCATATATAATATAATATATTCTTTTTCATATTCAAATAGCTTCAATTTCTAAATTATGTACCTTTAGTATGGAAATTATAAATTATTTAATGGAATATTATATTATTTAATATTCTATAATTGTCTTAGAGTACTAGAAATTTTAAGAGCCAAATTTTAAGTGCAGATGTTTTTAAGTGGTAATTAAAAAGTAAATATTTTTTGGTATCTTTTTGAATTTTCAGTGTTCATGATAAGTGATGTTCTTGTCACTTAAAATTTTACCCCATTTTAAGTGGCGCCTACCATTTTCTGTGGTATTCAAATTGCGTAATCAAACGCGCTTAATTGGATAAGCATTGAAATTGTTCAGAATTAAGCACTGAATTGAGTTATCAAATAGCACCTTAATAGATCTATAAATGAAATTTATATCTACATTAGCCGTGTCCGTGTCCTACATTTTTGAAGTTTGATGTAGTGTATCTGTGTCGTATCATGTCTGTGTCCCATGTCCATGTCCATGCTTCTTAGTCTGTATATATACTTCCTAGCTCTGTTGTCAATCATAGGCCTTTTTGTGATATTTTAGAAGTGTTGGATCAATAGGACTTAGATTAGCATATTTCGTGAATCTGTACCGTCTATTCTTATTGCTAGCTTAATTAGATTTTTCAGAGTTAATTAGTGTCAAGTTAGTTACCTCTTTTCTAAGGGCTGAATCGGAAATAAAACTTCAATTAAGGGCAGAACTGTAATCCTCAAAGCCAATGGTACAAAGGTAAAGATACAATTCACTATTCACTACATGCACTCACCAAATTAGGGTTCAAATATTATGGTTTCATGACTAGGAATTTTGATTGTGAAAAATCTTGAATGAATTGGTTTTAAACCATTTTGGGAACTTACTAAATCTGAAAGTTCCAACAATAGAGCACAGGGCACTTTAATTGAACGGCTGATTAATCAAAGGCTCGGGTGAATTGAAGGTGGTGGTGGTGGTGGTGGTGGAAGGTGGCTGTGGTGATGGCGGTGATGGAAGAACGAAAGAATAAGAGAGAATAAAGGACAATCTTGTCAATCTATGAAAAGTACATGGACAAATTAGTAAAATTAAAAATATACCTTAAAAAAAATGGCTTCCTAAAAGGAGGTATTTCTCTGAAATGGACTTCTTGACCATTGGCTTTTTGAAAAAGGCGTTTGCATATGTGTTACCAAAGGTCATATTTTTGTAAAAGGACTTTTGAAACTTCGAAGGACTTTTTGTGGCCTCAAGAAGCTCCCCAAACATGGCCTAAAACACATAACCCTATTTTACCTATAACTTTATTTTGTCTATAAACACTCCATTATCTCAGAAGAGACACACAAACTAGACAGAGCTGTTATAAATACAGATACACCCAATACATCGAGACTTATTGGCCATGGATAAAGAAAAACCATTTCAACATCAAAAACAACAAAAACTAGCGCGAACATAAAATAAGTGAGCATATTTGAGTGTATATACATTTTTCTTTTAGCATTCATAAATCATATTGCAAAAGATAGGTGAGTATAATAAAAGAGTGTTGACATCTGAATTACTATGGAGCACATTTAGAGATCAACACTAACAAAGGCACAATAGCTGAAATTTATCAAAAACCTGCAAGTTTGGCCTCCTAGCTGATAATCGCCCAGTTTCCGTGTTAATATTCAGTGAACAATGAATGCGCCCATTTTTGCCTGATATATGACTGCCCTGAAGTAGGAAGAAACCAATATATCACAAACTACCTCATACATTTGAAGTTAGAAAAACCGTAACACAATTGAACAAGTACTGACCGAAACAAAGAAAGAGTACCAGAAATTCTACCCCTCCCCGTCTTCCTCCCTTGAGGTAAATAGACCATTCTAAATCTTTTTTTATGATAAGTAGTAGACCATTCTAAATCTCATGATGCATTCTTAATAATTCTTCAGATGCACAAATATTATTAGGTATTGTTTTCCCATTTTACAAATCTTACAATTCTCAACCTATCCTATGATCCCATCCTGAAGATCACTCATTGATACAATATAAAATCCCAGTTTGAACAACCTTGCACAACCAGAATGTGCCAACTATACAAAAATAAGGGGAGAGATGGAGCAAAAGGTGTAAAGAGAAACAGGATTTACATCTGATAATTATACCAACTAAAGCTCTTAAAATAAATATATACATTAGAGGGCGGGACATGGCACAATGGTAAGGTTGCTCCATTGTGACCTGGAGGTCACGGGTTTGAAACAAGGAAACAGCCTCTCCGCATGCAAAGTTAAGGCTGTGTACATTTGAGCCTCCCCAGACCCCATAATGGCGGGAGCCTCATGCACTGGGCAAGCACTTTCTATTTGCATGGATAGCTCTATGTATATATCAACTGGCATACGCCATCAAATCAATATTTATTTCCTGGCCACTGACTCAAAGTAAAATGAAAATTCCAAAAGATTCCAGCAGACTAGATGGTTAAAATGACGTAATCATTGTTCTTCCTCTGAATAGAGTATCTGCTATATTGGGAACACATTATTAATGCTGGTTCCGCCCTTCATTCATTTTTATTTTCTTTTGCTGGATCCATATATTCAAATGACTGAAGATACATCTGATTATCAGATTGACCTACCATAATAGCATGCAATCATAACGAGGATATCTCCCTGACTAATGCAAGAGCTATGCAATCATAAGAACTTAACATTAAACTGAACAGATGCATTGTTATGTCTACACATATCAAATTAGTGCTTAAATGTTTGAAGCCAATATATATATTGAAACTGACCACGGTCCTCTAGTAGAAGTGGTAACTAGAGTTCTACTTCATGTAATAAGGGTCGGGGACTTGAGCCCCAAAAGCAAATTCTTGAAAAGGGATAATGTAATGATGTTCTGACTAGCACCCAGAAAACATTGTTCAAAAATACAGACATACCTCTTTTGGCAATTGCATGTTAGTTGTCAAGTGTCAAAGGCTATCCTACTTTATTGAAACTGAGTAACAGTGTTTCTAGTGAGTTTTCCATTTAGTTCTTTAAATAGAAGTTTTGAGTGAAATTTAAAACCCTAATTTTAACACTCTTGAGCCTCCTCTAATTTCATCTAATAATTCCATATGATGAAAAGTGGAATTTTAGGTGAGCATTGTGCCAGCACAGAATATGAATGCAGAAGTAAATTAGATGTACAACGTTCATGTACATAAAATGAAGGGGAAAAATATTAAGAAATAAAAATACATAATCAATACGATGGACAAGCAATGAAACTTGAATTCAAAGAGGAACACGAATGTAACAGGGAATTGATTATCGAAACTGTCAAGAATTATAAAATTGAAAAAAGAAATTAAGAATGAGCGGCACAAGTATAACATGGTTTGGCCACTACGCCTACATCCACGGCACACAAAGCCCAAAGGGCTACATCTCTTTCATTATATTCTCTCTTAATTTTGTTTACAATGACCACCTCTATTATAGGTGAAAGCATACAAACATGTGATAAATATGAAAAATATATTGGTGGCTTAAATCACTCATATAATTTTTTTATTTTTTGGGTAAGTAAGGTTGTATTAAAAGCGCCGAAGCGAGGAGTGCGTGCAGCCCACAAAAACTCCCATAAAGATATTCTGCAACAACCCCACCCCACCCCTCCCTCCCCCAAAACCAAAAAAAAATATTGGTACATGGAGATTTGAACTCCACTTTAAACTAAATAAGAAGTTGTCGAGTGTCCTTGGTTTCGGGTTTGTCACCCATGATATTCGAGATGAGTAGATCCAATCACAAAATTCGAGTGCGACAAGGAGAGCCGAACGAGTCTACATCATATAACCGAGAGGAATGGTATAGGTAATTAGGTCTCGATCAAATGGTCTGATACCATGTCAAGTAATTAGACTTAATTGAGAAATTAAGCAAGAACGACACAAAAGTATAAACTATAACGTGGTTTGGCCACTAGTTACTACATATATAATATCAACTCAACTCATGTCAATTAACCCTAAACACAACTATGAGATATAGGTATCAATATTTAAAGAGACAACAATGCGAACAAAGGGCATTTAATTATGTGAGCCATAAAATGATGCAAAGGACACAACTATGTCAAAGATTCAAAGTTATCTTAGTTATTATGCAATAATATGCTATAATAGATATATATATATTTATAATATATGCATAATAGGTGGAATTGTTGAAATATACAGGCACAAATTGATGCTAGACAACTACCTGCCCAGCCAATTCATGAATCCCAATTTCGTTTATTTTTTTTTTTTTTTTAGCTTTTTTCATAATTCAAAAAGATAATTATAATAACCACTTTTGCGAACTTTGACAAGAAAAAAAAAACAAAAACAAAAGAAAAATATATATATATATATATTTTTTTTTCCCTGAATGGGTTTAATTTTATTGATACAAAAAATGAACAATAAGTTCCAATAGAAGAAAGCGGTCAGAGAGCTATTATTATTATTATTATTATTATTATTATAAGTTAAGGTAAGGTTATCTGGCTGAACTAGGGCAAAAAAAAAGGGTCTAATCTGGCTGGACCGCACTAAAAAGAAGCTGTTTTGCTTGACCTGTCGAAGAATACAAAATATGTACAGGTTGCAGACCTACAACCTAACATGGTTTGATCCAATCAACATGCTAATTCCACTTCTACAATATCCCTTGGAAGTAAATTATTGTTTTTTAATTACAAGGCACACACCCATGCCCCACCTGGCACTTGAATTCTGCACCGTCCCCTGTACAAATGGCAAGATGTACAACCCAAGTTTAACAGCTGTTGTGTCTGAAAGTAAACTATAAACAGAAACTTCAAATTTTCAATACAACACCACTGCAGAACCAGGCTAATAAAGGCTAAAACATTCCCTTGGAACAACGGACAAATTACAAAATTATAGATAAGTATATAATTTATGACCCTTGTATTTTGGAGAATATCATTATAATAGTGATTAAAGCCCTTAAAAACTCCTTGACAAAATATTGATATAAATGAATCATGAGACTTATTTTAGGAATCTTTCCTATATCATATGTATCACATGTTTTCTTTCACCTATAAATAGAGGTGATCATTGTATACAAAAATTAAGAGAAAATATAAATGATAGTGATGGTAGCCCTTTGGGCTTTGTGTACCGTGGATGTAGGCCGTAGTGGCCGAACCACGTTATAACCGTGTGTTCTTCATGTTTAATTTCTCTCTTCAATTTTGATATCTTTTGGACTTCCTATAGTTGTTGCCATATTTAGCTCCTTTATTTTAGGGATTTGATTATTATGATTGTTGTAAATTAGAAGCAGATTGTAGGGTTTTGTTTGACTTTTTTTTCCTTGTATAATTTTTCTCTTTCCTATATATACTTGTGCAAGATGTAAACATATTAAGATGAAATAAACAGAGAATTTTTCTCACTAAAAATAACATCGTATCAGAGCAGATTTATCATACCCTACTCATTTCAGATCTTCGGATCAACCCGTCTCGGATCTCAAACCAACTCATCTCGGATCTTTGGATCAACTCGTCTCAGACTCTCGACAACTTTGTATTTAGTTTCAAGTTGGACGCTTGAGTTAAAATCTCCGTGTACCAACTTGAGGAGGGGAGTTGGAGAATATCATTATAGTAGTGATTAAAGCCCTTATATTACTCGACAAAATATTCATATGAATTTTTTTTTTTTTTATAAGTAAAACAAAATATTTATATGAGTGAATCATGGGAGCCTTAAAAAAACTTTCTTTCATCGATAAATAGAGGTGCTCATTGTATACAAAAATTAAGAGAGAATATAATGAAAGTGATGTCTGTGTGCCGTGGATGTAGGCCGTAGTGGCCGAACCACATGTATCCTTATGTTGTTTCATTCTTTATTTCTCTCTTCAATTTTGACACCTTATTTGAGATTTCGTGCGAGGTAAGAAATTCAAAATGCAAAACCAGTCAAATATGGCATCATAAATAACCTGCAAGGGAAGGATGAAGTTGGATATTAAAGAGTCTATGGAGCAAACTTGACATAAAGCAGCAATGGCATAGCAAGACTCCCTCCCTGTCTTTCCCCTTCCAAACGCCCCATAAGCTGTTCCATAAGCAGATATGTCGGTATCTTCACTGCCATCCACTCCAGTTGTCCATGAATATCTATCACTTGTTTTTTCATGCAAATTCTCAACAATATTGTCCGACTGCAATTGATGAGCCCCCTCCATAAAATCAAATTCTGCAGAGACCTTCCCAGCAAGTGCCTTCAAAGCATCTCCACTACAAGAGGGCCAACCAGATGCCGTATACATCTCTGTTTTCATATCATCAACAATTTTATGCAGTTTAATAGTACGATATTTTTTGGGAATCTTCTTGCCTTCTTCAATCACTTTATCAACATTGGGAACTTTGAAATCCTTCACAACAGGAAGACTCTCGGTAGGATCGTATCTGTCAAAAGAAAAAATAATGAGAAATGATTATTCAAATTATAAAGCTCTGCTTGGGCTCTATATGTGTCTGAACATGCAGAAAATAGCAACTTTCAAGTTATTTGACATCACCGTTGTGATTGTATAGCATTAGATTCAGACTTTCCCAAATATATATATATATATATGTTGGCCTAATGTCACGCCCCGCCTATGGAGGTTGTGCCACGCAGGCGACACGCAGACGCTGAGGAGGATGCTGCATGGCAAGTGGAGTTTCTAGAGTCTTCCGGAGTAGTCTAGAGTTGTGTGGAAGATTCTAGATATGTGTAGAAATATGTAGAAGTGTGTGGAAAGTTCTAGAGTTCTCCAGAGTTGTGTGGAGTAGTATGGAGAGTTCTAGAATGTTGTAGATATTTATGGATAAGTATGGAAGTGTGAAGAAGGTGGGAGAAGATTCTAGAGAATCGATCTCCGCCATCGGTTCAAATGCATCCTAGCCGTCCATTGGGGATGGGGATGCCTATAAATAGAGGTAGGACTTCATTTTGTGGACAACAATTCCTAGAGTGAGTCTTGAGAGCCTTGTAGAGAGCTTGAGTGTTAGCCTTGTACAAAGCATTCTTTGAAGTAATAGAAGTGTTCTTTCCTTGCCAACTTAAGTGCCTCAGTGTGTGTGAGTGTGCAAGCCAAGTGAGGAGAGGGCAAGGGCAACTACAACACTAGTAAGCGCACGAGGGGAGTGTGTTGGCTAAGGTGTGCACGGGAGTTAGGCTGACCAAGTACTTGCGAGAGTGAAAGCAACGTCTTGGTGCCGCACGGGAGCAGCTAGAGTGGTGCTGAAACTCTAAGCCCGTGACACTAAGGATTTAATCTAAAGGTCAATCTTATATTTTGATGATTACAAACCATTAGTGATGTTTATGTACTAATATTTTCCTTGAGTGCTATATAGTTGATCAATTAATTCAATCCTCAATAATGAGCCAGAAGCATTCCAAGTACTCAAGCAATGGATTCAAGGAAGCATTGAAGTTGCAAGAATTCAAAGATTATTCAAGCAAGAATTCAAAGATTATTCAAGTACTCCATCAAAGGCTAACCGATCATGGTCAAAGATTGAAGAAAAGGGTAGAAAGGATGGTGAGAGCTTTAGATTTAAATGTTAAAGCATATTTGAATATCTTCTGAAGCTCAAGTTTTTAGGTTCATGCATATTTTCTCTAAAAATCAGTTTTTAGAAGGCCTAAAATCTTTCCATGAACTTTACTTATGCATGCTCTCATAATAGGAAGTGCACAGAACAAGATGTGTTTCATTCTTAGTCTTACACAAGGATTGGAGCCGCCTCCCAAATATAGGAGCCTGCTCTTTGCACTCCAGTAGCCAAATTGTGTGTCGTAGAATGCATTTTGTGAATTGGAGCCGCCTCCCATTTATTGGAGTCTCCTCCAATTTTTTGTAGAGCCGGCTCTTCTAAGTAATTTGAATCTACAACGGCACTTTTCTGCATTTAAGTCTTCCAACTACTTCTAACAGACATATTAAGCTACGGTTATCTATATAAGGAAGGCTCATTTACTGAAGTAGATACACCACTGGATAATACATTCAAGAGAGCATTCAAGAGCATTCAATAAGCCATTTAAATTCTTCTCTGTGCTTTCACTTTCAACCATCACTACATTCTCTCATCCTAGAACTTGAGCTTCATTATTTTTCTGATATTCTCTAGTTGTGAGCTTACACTTGTATATCTATTGAGAGAGATTCTTGTATTTCATTTACAAACTTTGCTACAATCTTGTAAGGGTTGGTGTGACCCAAAAGAAGCCTAGGAGAAGGGTGTTCTCCTAGCAAGGAAAAGAAGCAAGGTCTTGCTTCAAATTTGAAGGTTTGCTCTCCACCATTAAGGAGAAGCTCTAGTGAATTTGGGCAGTTTCAAGGGGGATCTTGAGCCGAGGAGTAGGAGTTTCCGAACCTCGCTAAATCACCGAGTTCATTGTTTGCATCTTCCTATCTCTATCTCTTTTATACTTGTGCTTTATATTGCTTGAATTTTTCAATTAATCATTGCATAATAGTTGTTGTAAAATAAATTTCATAAATTGCGAAAATTGGCCATTGACTCTATTCACACCCCCCCCCCCCCCCCCCTTTAGAGTCAATTAGTGGTTAACAATTGGTATCAGAGCCTAATCTCTATATAAAGATTAATCATCTTAGAGAACGATCATGGCCAATACAAATTTTCATCAAGAAGGTGAATCTAACAATAGACCCCCTTGGTTTGATGGAAGTGACTACAACTATTGGAAAATCAAAATGAGAGCATTCTTAAGAGGCATAGATGTAGATGTTTGGAAAGCCATAGAAAAAGGAGACCATGTTCCAACCAAGATAGTAGAGGATGAAAATGTTCCAACACCCGATATTGAATGGACCCTCAATGACCATAGGCTTATACAATGTAATGTCAAGGCTATCACTAATCTCTATTGTGCCTTAAGCAAAGACGAATTCAATAGAATTTCGGATTGCGAAACGGCTAAAGAAATTTGGGATAAACTTGAAGTTACCTATATAGATACTAGTCATGTTAAGGAATCCAAAATGAATATGCTTGTCCATAAATATGAACTTTTTACCATGAATAACAAAGAAACTATTAGTGAAATGTACTCTCGTTTTACTAACATTGTTAATCCTTTGAAAGCTCTTGGAAGAAAATATACATCATCCGACAATATAAGAAAAATCCTTAGATCTTTGCCAAAGAATTGGGAAGCAAAGAAGACCGCCATCCAAGAAGCCAAAGATCTTAACACACTTCCCATTGACGAACTCATTGGTTCATTAATGGCTTACGAGCTAGAAATGAATGATAGAGATGAAGAAACTCAAAAGAAGGATATAGCTCTACAAGCTACTACCAAAGAAGTTGCAATTGATAAGGCTCCTCATGATGAAGAAGAAGAAGTTGCTCTCATTACCAAAACCGTGAGAAGAATCCTTCAAATGAAGAAGTTCCAAAAGAGCAACAACTTCAAAAGAAATGGGTCATCTAGTAAGCAAGGAAAAAGAGAAGCACCTACTTGCTTCCATTGTGGAAAACCGAGGCATTTCAAATCCGATTGCTATGCCTATAAAAATGAAAAGGAAAGGAAAAAGAAAGGAAAGGCCATGTAAGCTACATGGGAGGATGATGATTCAAATGGATCCGAAAGTGACGATGAACTCAATGAATTGGTTAATCTTTGCCTCATGGCCGATGACGATGAGGTAATTTCTAATCATGACTCATTTAATTTGGAAACTACTTATGATGAATTGGTTGATGCACACAATTACTTGCTAGATGCCTTTAGAGAATTGCATGATGAATTAGGCAAAATGGTTCAAAAATGTGCTACTCTAAAAAGGGAAAAGAATATCATCTCTCAAAACCTTGAAAAATTTCAACTTGAAAATGAAGCTTTGAAAAAGGAAAAAGAATTAGCAAAAGAATCGGTTTCAATAGATTTAATTTCTGAAAATAAATCATTAAAAATTATGATTGAAGATCAAATTGAGACTTCAGCAAAATTCACAAAAGGTAGAGAAAATTTGGGTCTCATACTTGGAAAGCAAAGAAATGCTTATGCCAAGGATGGACTTGGATTTGATCCTCACAACAAAGACTCTTGTTTATTAAAAAAGAGAGAACCTTTGAACAATTATTTTGTTAAAAATTCCTCTTTTAGTCCACAATGTAATTATTGTAAAAAAATAGGACATAAGATCAATCATTGTCCTATTAGGCCATGTAGGACAAAAGAAGTTTGGGTTATTAAAGGGACTTATACACCTCTTTCTAACTCTCATGGACCCAAGAGAATGTGGGTACCAAAAGAAGATTATTCAAATTCCTTTTGTAGGTTTGCTTGAAGTCTCCATATTTATCCAAGGACAAATGGTTTCTTGATAGCGGATGTTCAAGGCATATGACGGGAGATCAATCAAAATTTCACTCCATCAAACCTCATAAAGGAGGAAGCGTCACATTCGGTGACAACTCAAAAGGCAAGGTCATTGGCATTGGAACTATTGGTATCTCCTCCTCCTTATCTATTGATGATGTGTTACTTGTTAAGGGCTTAAAACATAATCTATTTAGTATTAGTCAATTATGTGATAAAGGATATGATGTCTTGTTTAAATCGGACAAATGCATTGTCAAAAAGGATAATGTTGAAGTTTTCCATGCTCTAAGAAATGGTAATGTATATTCTTTGCTTTTATGTGAACTACACGATCAAGATGTCAAGTGTCTTGTATCCTCAAATGAGGATAGTTGGTTGTGGCATAGAAGGTTAGGTCATGCTAGTATGGATTTGATTTCAAAACTATCTAAGAATGAATTGGTCAAAGGCCTCCCAAAGACTAATTTTTCTAAAGATAAAACTTGTAGCGCATGCCAAATAGGCAAGCAAATCAAGTCATCATTTAAAAGGAAAAAGGATATAACAACTTCAAGACCACTAGAATTAATTCATATGGACTTATTCGGTCCGGAGAGAATTGCTAGTCTTGGTGGAAAACTCTATGCATTTGTCATTGTGGATGACTTCTCTAGATTCACTTGGGTATTTTTCCTTACACATAAAAATGAGGTTCATACAATCTTTACTAAATTTTGTAAGAGAGTCGAAAACGAAAAAGAATGTAAGATCAAGTCCATTAGAAGTGATAGAGGTAGAGAGTTCGACAACCAAGATGTGGAAAGATTTTGTGATGAAAATGGATACAATCATAATCTTTCGGCTCCTAGAACTCCTCAACAAAATGGAGTTGTTGAAAGGAAAAATAGGTCTCTCCAAGAAATGGCCAGGACTATGTTAAATGAACATAAATCTCCTAGATCTCTATGGGCCGAAGTTGTTAGTACCTCATGCTATGTCATAAATAGAGTCATCATTAGAAAACTCCTTAATAAGACTCCTTATGATCTTTGGAACAAAAGGAAACCAAATATTGGAT